CTCTCTCTCGGCAGTTTGGGTTAGGGAGAAGGAGACACAGATACACCATTGGAGAGCTCACGCTCGCCGGAGCCATACTCGACTTCTTCGTCCCAAACGTCGCTCCCGACACCGGCTGCGGCGCCGACACAAACGACGAGATCGGCCCATAACTGCGGCTGATTCAATCCGGAACCACCACCAAGGCTCTCTCCCTCAAACTGATCTCTCACAAACGACGAGATCGGCCCATAACTGCGGCTGATTCAATCCGGAACCACCACCAAAGGAGAGATCGAGAGAAGAGGAGATCGAGAGACGAAAGAACAGGAGACGAGATCAAGAGTGAAGGATCGATTGGGGTGAGATCGAAGCCTGCGACTAGAGAGAAGTCGGCGACCAGGTTCTTGCTCTCTCCTCTTTCCTCTCTTCTGTATTTAGGGCTATTTCGTTGCTTCTGTATGTAGGGCAAAACATAGCCGTATCCATTTGTGATGAGCCGTATCCCGCACCTGTACCCGTGTCGTGTCGTGTCGACACGGGTACCTCCGAAATTTCAAAGAGTTCGTGTAACATAGGAGATGACAGGTCTCTGGGATTAATTGGCTCTCATGAAGCCACCTAGCCTCAAGGTACTAGACACTCATGTTGAGTTTCGGGAGCAGGGTCGTTTAGTGCAGTTCTTAACGGCTCTTTTCCCTCAGTATGAGGCTATTCATGGTGGCATTCTTCATCGGTCAACTCTTCCCTCTATGGATGCTATTGTTCGTGAGCTCCTCTCTGAGGAAACCCGTCTTAAGACAGCCAGTCAGACTCTGTCTCCATCTGTCTTCTTGGCTCCTACTCAACCCTCTCTGTTGTTGAATCCCCCTTATCAGCTTCAGGCCACTGCAAAGCCCAAGAAGGGGCCACTAGCCTCTGATGAATGTACTTTTTGCCATCAGAAGGGCCATTAGAAGTACAACTATCCCAAGAAAGGCCGTCAGTCTGCTCTGTTTTCTCAGCCGTCTCAGCCACAATTCCAAGGTCTTGCTCCGAGTACTTTTTGCCCTCCTACTGCTTATACTGCAACTGCTCTGGTTTCTGATCCTGACTTGGCTTCCTTGAGTGCCTAGATTGCCCAACTATAGCATCTCTGGTCCACCTCTCAGTCATCTTTATCCGCCTCGGCTCTCACATCTCTTTATTCAAGTTTGCTTGGGTTCTCTTCAGGTATTCCTTCCTCTGTTTGGCTTTTTTATTATGGTGCCTCTCATCATATGACTCCTTACCTTTCCTTACTCCAAAGCTGTCTCCTCCCTCCCTTTCCTATTACTATTAATACTGCTAATGGGTCTGGTATGTCTGTCCTATCTATTGAGTCTGTCTTATCCTCTGCCATGTTTGCTGTTACTATTCCCTCTGTTTTTTATGTTCCTCAACTGTCTGTTAGCTTGTTTTCTTTCAGTCAGCTTGATGTTTCTGGTTTTGATGTTATCTTTTCTTCTTCTGTCTGTTGTATGCAAGATCGGGTGTCCAAGAAGCAGATTGGGCTCGGCCGTAAAGTTAGAGATCTCTATGTGGTGGAAAGCCTGCATCTTCCTCTATTTATCTCCTCCGTTACACTTGTATCTTTTCAGTTAGATTCTCAGTCGAGTCAGTTTTATTTATGGCATTCTCGCTTAGGTCATTTATTTATGGCATTCTCGCTTAGCTCAGTTAGGATTGTTAGGTAAAGTTTCTCCCAGTCAAATTAATGAGTGTCGAGGATGTAAATTTGCTAAAATGATAGCTTTGCCTTTTAATGACAGTACTTATATTTCTGCTTCCCCTTTTTCTCTTGTACATGCTGATGTCTGGGGACCTTCTCCTATTCTCACTAAAAGGGGTTCTGTGTACTATGTGTCATTTGTTGATGATTGTACCCGCTATAACTGGGTTTATCGTATGACTCATAAATCTAACTTCTACCAGATATATCGTACCTTTCAGTCTATGATGACTACACAGTTTGGGGCCATAATTAAAATATTCCGGTCTGACTTGGGTGGGGAATACTTTAAAATTGAATTCTATGAGTATTTGGCTACATTGGGCACCATTCACCAAACTTCTTATACTGATACTTCTGTCCAAAATGGTCGTACTGAGCGTAAACACTGTCATCTCTTTGAGACAACTCGATCTCTCATTCTCTCTGTCTTTGTTCCGGCACCATTTTGGGGTAAGGCAGTTCTTACCGCTGCTTGCCTCCTTAATTGCATGTCGACTCCCCTACTCTCTGGTCAATTCCTTTATAAGGCTCTGTATTCCCAATCTCGTAATTATTCCTTTCTGCGTGTCTTTGGGTCTACTTGTTTTGTCTTCCTTCCCTGTAAAGATAGAACCAAACTCAGTGCTCAGTCTATCTTGTGTGTCTTTTTGGGTTACAGTCTTATTTAGAAAGGCTACCGTTGTTACGACCCTATCTCTCGTCGCTTTTATGTCTCCCGTCATGTTGCCTTTCTCGAACGTCTGTATTACTTTCAGCTTCCCCCTCTCACTGCTCTCGTCTCCAAAGAGAATTTGGTTCACATTGACTCATTTCCTTCTGAGGTCCCGTCTAATGAGTACATCTCCACTGTTCCTCCTGAGGCTATTCCTACTTTTCCGTCTGCGTCACCCATGGTTCCTTCTCCTCCTTCAGTTTTTTCTTCCCCTCCGTTGTTGGTCTATTCTCGTCGCAAGGCTCCCCTACCACCAGTTGTCTCTACTCCTGTTACTGCTCCTTCTGCTTATAATGACTCTGATCTTACTACACACCGATATCCTACTCGTGAACGTCATCCTCCAAGCAGGTTGGGTTGGTCTAATATATATTTTTTTGCTTCCTATCGTACTTTTTTGTCTGTCATGCATTCTTTTTCAGAATCTCAGTCTTACACGGAGGCCTGTCAGGATCCTAATTGGGTTCAAGCTATGGAGGATAAGTTGTTTGTCTTGCAGAAGACTAACACTTGGGAGTTGGTTCCTTTACCTGCTGGCAAGAATCTGGTTGGTTGCAAATGGGCCTATAAAGTCAAGACTCATTCTGACGGTTCTCTCGAGCGCTACACACCACTACCACCTCACCTACTCCACTAAACCTAACCCACTACACCACTATCACCATCCACTACACACCATCCATTACACCTACATCTATATAAGGAACCATTTGTAATAGACAGAAGATCAATCAATAACATCAACAAATCAATAATATACATCAATTTATTTTTACAGAGGATAAGTTGTTTGTCTTGCAGAAGACTAACACTTGGGAGTTGGTTCCTTTACCTGCTGGCAAGAATCTGGTTGGTTGCAAATGGGCCTATAAAGTCAAGACTCATTCTGACGGTTCTCTCGAGCGCTACAAAACTCGCTTGGTTGCCAAGATGACTACTGCCCGTACTTTGTTTCTATTGCTGCTATTCGACATTGGCCTCTCTATTAGATAGACGTTAAGAATGCTTTTCGAACGGTCATCTCATTAAGGGGGTCTACATGCGTCCTCCCCCTGGTCTTTTCCACTCCTCTGGGCAGGTTTGTCATATTCGATGTGCTCTGTATGGTTTGAAGCAGTCTCCCCGTGCTTGGTAAGATCGCTTTCAGACTGCTGTTACCGAGCTTGGATTTCATCCTTCTGCTTCTGACTCTGCCTTGTTTCTAAGACATACGTCGGTTGGTTTTGTTGCTCTCCTACTCTATGTAGATGATATGATCATCACTGGCTCTGACTCTGACTCTGACTCTTTTGCAATCTCTGAGGTCAAGCAACATCTCTTCCGCACCTTTGAAATGAAGGATCTGGGTCTATTGCGGTATTTTCTTGATATTGAGGTTGCCTCTTCACCAAAGAGCTATTTTCTGTCTCAGGCCAAGTATGTTAATGAGGTTATTCACCGTGCCGGTCTTACTGATTCTAAGGTTTTTGATACACCTATTGAGCTTGATGTGAAGCTCAACTCTATTGATTGTGTCCCTCTAGATGATCTTACGATCTATCGCGAGCTTGTGGGTTGTTTAGTTTATTTGACTGTCACTCACCGTGATCTTGCTTATGCTGTTCATGTGGTCAGTCAGTTCGTTTCTATTCCTCGCTCTACCCATTGGGCTGCTTTGGTTCGTATTCTTTGTTATCTTCGGGGTACCATCTTCTAGGACTTACTGTTGTCCTCTATTTCCTCTTTAGACTTGGTGACCTATGTTGATTTTGATTAGGCTGGTGATGTTAATAATCGCAAGTCCATCTCTGGTTTCTGTATGTTTCTTGGCGATTCCTTGGAAAAGCAAGAAACAAACTGTTGTTGCTCGTTCTACTACCGAAGCTGAGTACCGTACTATGGCTCATGCTACTGTTGAACTTGTTTGGCTTCGTTGTCTTCTCTCTGATTTGGGTGTACCTTAGTCTTCTCCGACCTCTCTCTGTTGTGACAACCGTAGTGCTATTCAGATTGCTTACAATACTGTCTTCCATGAATGGACGAAACACACTGAGATTGATTGTCACTTTGTCCGACAGCATCTGCTGTCTGGCTCTATCTCACTTCCTTTCGTCTCCTCAACTTTGCAACTTGCGAACTTCTTCACCAAGACTCACACTACCGCTCGGTTTCAATTTCTTCTTAGCAAACTCTCAGTGTTTTATGCTAAAACACCTTAGTTTGAGCGGGGGTGTGAGAATAATATATTGTATATATGGCATGATTGTGTATATATGGCATATTAGGAATTAGGCAAGATTATGGTGTAAATACGAATCTCTGTATTTTCTCTTTCAGTCATGGATTTAAGGCTGCATAAACTGATGAACTCTTTGTAAACAAACACAATTGAATATACAAATTATTCAGAAATCTTACAATATATTGTTAAATAATGATAGAATTCCTGCAAAAAAATAGAGTACTGACTGAGTATTAGTTCTGACGAGTCAGAATGACTCGAGTGACTTATTTGATTTATTATTTTTACTTCTATTGAATCTGTTTGTTAAAATGGTCTTCCTTTTGTAATTTTAGAACGATCCAACCCGAGCATTGAAGATGACCACAAAACAAACATTGCTCGAAATCTGGAGGTATGTAACAATCTGTTCACATTATTGGGTTTTTTATATCACAATAAACACATGGAGTGCCATATGATGGATGAGCAGACCAGTTAAAAAAAGGTCGCTGCTCAAAAGCAAACTTGTTTGTCTGCTCTCCCAAGGGGTGGTCCTGTTTGCAGTACCTAATCCTCCTTATCAGGCAATTATGCCTAAGATCACCAGGTTTACTAGTGGGTGTTGTACTAGCAATTATTGTTGGGTATTTTAAATGCCATGTAAATGAAAAACAGTAGCATGCGATGACTTCTGCATTATGTTCAAATCATAACTTGCATGTGCCCTTGGTCCTCCAAACTTGTGGATTCTTACACTTACACTTGGCTTTGGCATGAAGACCAATAGTCATCTATACTAAGATATAAAGTGGACAGACCAGAACATAAAGTTTTGCCACAATATTTCTCTTTCTGAAATTGCCCTGGTGTGTAACTGTCAAAAATAGCCTCTCAAGATCTAACTGTTTCATATTTAAAAACTGCCATGATCTCAAGATCTTGTATTAGTAAAAAGCTATAGATATAGTTAATAGTTAATGGTTCTAATTTGTCATGAATTTTGTCTTTCCTTGTGAATAATTTCTTTATGTTAAAGTAGAGTTGTTGGCTGATATATTTTGCTTTCTATAACTCAATGGGGCCATGAATCAGGGATGGAGGGATGAAGGGGCTGTTTACAGGAGTTGGTCCTCGTGTTGCTCGTGCTGGCCCGTCGGTTGGAATTGTGGTTACCTTTTATGAAGTTGTCAAGTATGCTTTACATCAAAGACACTTAAACCAGTGAACACAACTAGAACAAGATTCTTTTTATTGAGAACATCTTTCTTTGCTTGCCATTGGCGTAAAAGAACTTTGGCAAAAAGCATGGTTTCGATACTAATTTTAGCAATTGAAAAGGAAGGTGATTCCACATTGAGTGGAGATGAAGCAGAGAATCTAGTTTCTGCTGGTATCCTTTCTTCATTGCCATGCAGTTTGTATATTTTCAGCTGCTGGGGAAAAAAAAATAAGAAAATAAAAATTTTGTTATTTATTTATTTATGGTTAAAAAGTAAGCCGGTTGCATGTGCGCTCCGTGATTTTGAGAACGAAGTCATTTCCAGAATTTAGCATTGTGATGCATAAATGTGATGAAATTACTTGTACATTAATCATTCATAAAAACTGTGGAATAACAGGGCAACAATTTTAATGCTTGGCATGCATTGGAAGACTTGTGTTGTTGGGTAAGAAGTCTTTATTTGCAATGTTTAGTAGTGTGACTCTAAAAAAATTTCAGCTTTTGATCCAAACAGTCAAAATAATAATAATAATAATAAAGTTTAAAAAAAAAAAGTTAATATTCATTTTGATTTGAAATTCTTAAAAATATTTTTTGAATTTTTAACCTTTTTATAATTTTTAGTGAATTTTTAGATATTTTAATTAAAGTTTCTTTAACTTTTTAGATTTTTTTTTTAAAATTTAAATACACTTGAAAAGTAAAAAAAAAAATTGAAGAAAATTTGAAATTATTTTGTAAAAAAAATATAAAAATAAAAATCAGTAACTTTTCAAGCATATATATTCACTCTGTTTGATTTGACATTCTTAAAAATGTTTTATTTATTTATTTATTTATAATTTTCAATTTTTTAATATTTTAATTAATTAATTTTATTTATATTTTAGATTTTTAAAAAAAAATTAAAAACACTTGAAAAGTAAATATTCTTGACTTTACCCAAATAATTTGATTTGTAAAAATATTTTATTACAAATAATATATTACAAATAATATAATATGTAATATATTTTTATATAAATTTTAAAATAAAATAAAAAAAATTAAAAATAAAGAGTCAAAAGTGAAAAAATGAGTTAACAACATAAAGAAAGCAAAATATGATTTACCCAAACCAAAATCAAAATAAAAAACTAATTCCAAACGACACGCACCTAATTATATCAACAAAAGCAAATGATATGATATCCAAAAAGCTGGCCTCCACACAAAATTCTGGTACCAGACAGTCTTAGGTTGTGCACTTTGTACCTTTTTTTTATTTGTCCGACAAAGTTGTGGGCTCCACACATGTGAAGAGTGTAAGTTAGAAGCCTTAAAAATTTTATTAAGGTCAAGTTTAGAAAGGCTAAATAAGTGTACTTTTTGATTTTTTATAAAATATGAGTTAAATTTGAGTTAAGTTTGAAGCGATGTGTTAAAAAAATGATAACTTAAATAAAATGATGTGACTTAAATAAGATAATGACTTTTTAAATTTTTTAAAAGATGCCAAACTTGGCCTAAATATTTGAACAAATATCTGATACAGTGGTCTTTTTTAAATTTTTTTTAATGACTTTTTGATAAAAAGTTGGGTTATTTTAAGAAAAAAAAGTTAAATTGAAAAATCAAAAAGTTAACATTTTACTGGTGTTTCCAAAAGAAATGTGAATCCCTTACTCGGTTTTTGGTCAAATATTTATTAAAATTTTTAATATTCCTAACATAACCTAATTCGCCATACAAAATATTATTTTTCCCTTTCACATGTACTGATATGATAATAATATATACCTGTCACACAATGCAGTGGGGTGGCATGAAATTGAATACGTAGTCAAAATAACAATACAAAGATGGACAACAAATGAAACCTGATCTGAAATTAAATGATAAGGAATTACAAGACAAGAGAAGACTGCAAAATCAGAAATGATGCAGGCAAAAACATTATATCTACAAGAAACATTAAAAAAAATTGGAAAAGGCGAACAATGGCACTGAATTGATTTCCCCAACCAAATGACACGATACACCACCATGACTGAGCATTTTACCCACTTTGAATTCCTTTCCCCATCCCATTCTCTAAAAATTCAATTTAATCCTCAAAAAAATACTCAGAAGAAGCTGTAGGAGGAAGAAGCATCCAGGGGGTGAATGAGATATGTGAGAACTAGTGCCACCAGCATCAATAAATAAGCAATACCCTGGTCAATAGAAGTCCCTGCCAAAAAATATAAAAAATAAAAACAAAAAAATTACATTTAGGTAGGGATTGACACATTTTTTTTACTAGTTTTTCAAAAAATAGCTGATGCATTTGGCATTATTAAGAAAGTTCTTCTTTTCTTTTTTTTCTGGTTAGTGAGAAAGTTGTTTGTTTCCCTTTTGTCAGCTAAAGAACCAATTATCAGAGGGACAATTTTTTTTTAGCTGAAATAGCCAAAAAGTGGATGTTTAAGTCATTGCCAAACAGTGCCTAAGAAACAACAAAGAGGCTCCAGGAGAAAAAGGGGAGAAAAAAAAAAAAAAACAGCATGAAAAAGTCCAATCTAAACCATTTCAAGAACTACAGCTCAAAAACAGTAATAACAGTACTTGCATAAAAAACAATACCGTCAATCTTTCACTCTGAAATTTATGTTGAAAGTGAGATGTATAGTGTAAATCTAAAATTAGTGAAATATGGCCACACTTACAATGAATGTGATCCATAAATGTAATTTTTCAAGTAATTTTTCTTCATATATAGTATTGTTGTTATACTACTTGTATAAATCAAGTTAAACAAATACACAACCATGAGATAATGAATAATTAGAATTAATATATAATGTTAATTAACAAGGCAAATAGTCTTTGCAACACACATTACCCAACAGGGATGAGATTATACAAGCAAAATTGTAAACACATTAAAATCAAACAGACAACTGAACACAATTTTGAGATAAATGTAAGCAAAATTTCGGGCTTTTTTTTTTATTATAAAAAATATAATATATAAGTATATCCTTTTGTTAGCATTTGAGGAACACTTATCTTTACCCGTTTGACAGCAAAATTAAAGATTCAAGAAACACAACTACTATGTCATTATTTCCTACCCAATAGACAAAGATTCAAGAAGAAAAAACCAAGGGTAAATCACATCATTGGTCTTATTTCAGAGAAGAACAAATGTGAAATCAGAGAAGTAAAATTCAAGAGAAATTATAACAATTATCAATGTAATTTTTCAAGTGAATTACACATGGTAATTTTCCATCAACAAATTTAGTGGTAACTGACAAAGAGACCCCCATTAAAATAAAATTAAAATTAAAAATTACCGAAAAAAAAAAAAATAAACATTTTAATTTTATCCATTTAAACATTAATTTTTTAATTTATTTTCAATCTAAACCAACAATTTTAATCATTAAACTGAGTGTAACGCAATGTAAATGTATATAAAATGTCTAACATACTATATTTAATCAAGTTTAATAACTAAAATATCATTTTTTCCGTCAATTTTATTTAACAAAAATAGGTTAATGGTTTAAATTAAAAATTAAAAAAAAAACTAAGATTTATCTTGTTAAAAGGGAGATTTTTTTCATAATAATTTCCCCAATTAAAAATGTGAGGCCTAAATTGATGAAACTGAAACCGACCGAAGGTATAATTTTCCCAAGGCTCACAATTATTTAAAACTGACGTAAAATCACGAACCAAGTCAAAACAAAAATACAGATCGTTCACAGGACAATGCCTTTTAATTCCACAAGAAATCATCACAAAAATTTGAAAACGGAATCAAGAAATCAACGAGACTAGCCTTCAGATCTGAAAGTCGTGCACTCAACCATACAAAAATTTACGTATACGTGCATGCATATATGTATATATATATATATATAAACTTCGAATTTATACATGTATATGTGTAGTGTATATAATGCAGAAAGATAAGAAGAGAATCTCACCATCGCTCGTAGGAGCAGGAGCAGGAGCAGGAGAAGGAGTCACGGAATGCGCGGCGGAAGAGGGAGAAACAACGGCCAAAATAACTGCGAAGACGGCCAACACTCCGACGAAAACCCTAGGCACCGCCATTCTCTCTCTCTCTCTCTCTCTCTCTCTAAAGCCAACAAAAGTGGATTGCCTAAGCGAATTTAGAGAGAGAGTCTCGAAGAGGAGAGAGAAAAATGAAAAAGTTTTTGAACGAACGAACGCTAGGAAATGTAGAGAGAGAAAGTATATATGGAGGAGAGAGAGAGAGAGATCCACTCACTCAGGCCTCGTTTGTTAATTTTTAATAAAAAAAAATTACTATGAATTGTTATATTATTTTTTTTAAAAAAATTAGAATATTATTAAAATATTCTGTGCCAGACGAAGTTTCAGTACTTTTCCAATAATCAAGCCATGTGCCGCTCTTCATTCATTCAGACTCCAGCCATGTGCGGACTTGAATTTACCAAATTAACCCCCTAACGGCCGGCTAAGGCTTTATATTATATTATATATATATATTTGAAAATTTTTATTAGCTTTTTATCTATATTTTCAAATTTCAAGATTTTTATCCTTCATTTCTTTGATTGGATTGTTGCAACTTGAAAGTTTATTTCCCGCTATAACCAAACTCTTGAAAGAATGCTAAAATAGTTAACTAATTTAGGCTTGTATTCGCAACCTATTTTGAAAAGTTTTTTATTTTTTTAAGTGATATTATTTTTCTATTTTTTTACACTTCTTTTAAATAAAAATTAAAAAAAACAAATTTTAACTTCCTTTTCAAGATATGTCAAAATAGTTAAAAAATCATGAAAAAAATTAAATTTCATCTTTATTTTTTTACATATCTTTTAATTGATTTGAAATTCATCGGATACAAAGACAAGAATGTACCTACTAATGTGAGTTCATTATTTTTTTGTCTAAGGTAAAAAATTTAGTGAAAAATAGTAATTTGTGTAAAACATTATTCTGTAAATATTTGAGGATCAATCTAATAAAAAGCAGCACAATTATAATTAGAAAAATGATTCAGAGCTCGAATTTCCCACGGCTCGATTGGCCCGAATCCAAAACAATGTCGTTTTGGATTCGATTTTTTTTTTTCCTTTTCTAATCTTTTAGATCTAGAACAGAGAGAGCGAGGGAGGGATACAAAGAGGAGAAAAGAGAAGAGTAAGAGAGAAGGAAGGGGTAACAGAGAGGAAGAGCACCGTTCGTCAATCGCCGCCTTTGATCTCCGATTCTTCTCCACCGCCGGCCTCCGATCTGTGTATGATGATGCTCTATTGAAAAAAAAATTCAAATTTTTACGGAGGAGACAGTGATGGCAGCGTCGGTGGGTGTCTCTCTCTCTCTCTCTCTCTCTCATATATATATATATATAGATATGTTGATACACACATAGATCTGTTGATGTTGATGTGTTGTTGTTGATGAAGAAGATGAAGGAAAAAGAAAAATAAAATAAAATTGTTGGTGGGTTTGATTTTTGATTTTTGGGTTTGATTTGTGTCTTTGTTTCTTCTTTCTAATAAAATAATGGGTTTGGTTTGTGGTTTTGATTTTTGGGTCACGAATATAATAAAATTCATGATGGAAATTATACACAGAGTAAAGGAATTTCATATTTTCATATAGATAGAGGAGAAGAGGGAGATACATATTGAGTTTGCTGAGAAAAACAGATGAGACTCATATGAAAACCTAGAAAGAAATGCAATCAAGTAATATAGCTTTCAGAAAGAACACAAATGTCCACAACTATAAAATTGAAAGAAGACCCAAAGATTACCGGTTTGATAAAATAAACCAAACCCATTATAGAAAATTGATTTCTGAGTTTGATTATAATAGGTTTGGTTTTCTTTCAATTTTTTGCTATCTCTTTTTTCTTCTTCTTCTTTCTTCCTTCTCTCCTCTGAAACCTGCAAGTCATCAAAAGGAGGAAGGAGAAAGAAAAAAAATAAAAATAAAAATTCAAAACGACGTCGTTTTGAAATTCGGGGCAGTCGAGGCCTTCGGAAATTTGAGTTACAAAACGGAACTGTTATAATTATTGGAATGTTGTCACTGGTTGGTAGGTTGAAAAATTGTAACCACCGGAAGATATGTAAGGGAAAGTGCAATGCTTTTCTTTGTTTGGGTGTTTCATTTCGAGTCACGTTTGATTTGTTAAAAATTTATTAAAATTTATTTATCAAGTCAATAAATCTGTCTTAAACATAACAATTTAAACAAATTAAGTTTGAATAATTTCTTAATCAATTGGACTTGACTCGTCAGATGGGGAAGATAGTGATTTATGAGGAATGAGCAGTGCTAATAAGTTCTAAAGGAAGGAAAGAGCGATGGTGCAATGGGTAACTGTTCCCCAAATTATAATTTCACATGTTTGTACTTATTTTTAATCTTCAAACTTGTATTGTAATTTAATAAAAACTTTCCATTAAAATGTATTAAAAAAGCACAATACAAATTAAGTAAATCATTATTTATCTCTTAATTATCTAACAAAAATGAGTCAACATATTCTACTTACACACTATCACCCTGTGATTAATTCCAAACATCATATATACAAGGTAATCCTAGGAATACCAAATTTTTTACCAAATAAATGACCAAATGTTTCACATAGACATTTGTCATTTATTTGGTATAAAATTTAAGACTTGTAGCATTTTCCTATATACAATGCTACAAAACACTTCAGGACTATCCAATAATAATTATTATTTTGTGTTACCAAATTGAAAGGCTGGAATTAATTTTGGTGGGACTCGCAGTGTGTTTGGTTTGAGTTTTCTGGATTAAATTTTTTTTAAAAATTGAGTTTTTTAATTTTCGTGTTTTTTTATTTTTAGTGAATATTTTTAAAATTTTAAACATATTTTTTATTTTTTTAGATGTACCTTACTTAAATGTATCTAAAAAGTAAAAAAAATGTGAAAAAATCTTTAAAAAATTAAGAAATACATAAAAATACAAAAAATGTACTGAATTCTTGTATTTTTTTTTATATTTTTGGTATTTTATGAATTTTTAAAAGATTTTTTTTATAATTTTTTTACTTTTTAGGTGTATTTATGTTAGGTGTGTCTAAAAAATAAAAAATTTGCATAAAATATTTAAAAAATTCAGTAAAAATAAAAAAATACGAAAAATAAGAAAATAGAATTTTCTGAAAATTATTTTTAAAAAAATGGAACCAAACATAGGATTTTTGGGGTGGGGTGGGGGTGTGAATAGCTGGCAAAAACTTTTTCATGGACAAACTAGGGAGGACTGGGACAGCTTGTATTGTTCACTGTCTTTAATCATCAGCTTCCTATTGTTGTTTGTTTGGCTCTTACCTTGCAAACAAAATCCAATTTGAAGAAGAATAGGTTGGGATGATCAATTTGAATTTGAAATCCAAAAAAAAAAAAAACCATATTCATGATTCATCATCGCATTGCCATTTTTGCTGCAAACTGCAAACACAGAAACACTACTATCATTGAGGAACCAAACACAGATACTCGAAAAAGCTTCATAGCTATTTTCCAGCACACAAGTTTTCACAGCATTTGCAGCATAAATGTTGCACTAAAATTCACTTCAAATAAAACAGATGAAGCACTTTCTAAATTTTGATTGGCTTATATGACCACAATTATCGTCTCTTTCATCAGAACCTGCCTTGAACAATCAAAAGTCATGGGGAGCCTCTAAATATACCCCTATCCCCATTCTCACCGCTGCCCCTCCCTAAAGCCCCCAAACCCCTCCTCTTCCTCTCAATTGTCCTCTCCCCTTTCCTCCTTCTCAAACCCTAAGCCTAAATCGTTGCCCATCGTCCCCTCCACTTCCCTTTCTCTCAAACCCTAACTCTAAACCCACCCCAGCTACCACTTACCATTGCCAGCTCCTACTAGAAGTAGAGAGAGGGACACAAGTGAAGGAGAGAGAACTTAGAGACAATGGTACTAAAATTTTTTGTGCAGGGTGTTCAATAATATTTTTGGAGTGCATTTAGAGGTTCCCATAGTTAATTAAACTTACAAGCAAATGAGTCAAACTAAGGCTATGTTTGGCCGCACAGATAGAAACTATAAGCAAAGGTAAAAAGAGAAAATCTTCACAGCAACAAGAACTTGTTAAGTGAGAAAATACGAAAACCCAGAGGATCACAAATAAAACAAGTGCCAAAAAATCAAATTCATGCTAAGATACATACAATAATGGACCTAATAGCCAAAAAAACATTCAAGATTTTCTTGCATTGACACAAAATCACAAATGTTTTAAGATAAATGGGAACATCCCACATGAATGAATTGACTTGATGAGCCACACCACATGCAATCCCTTGACTCAGACACACACATGCATGCACCATAACATATACACTCATCATCATGGGGCACCTAAGTCGTACAGACACGAACAAGTGCGACTACATGGATATGACAACACTGACACGTCCATTTTTAAAAAAAAATGATGAACACGATATGCCTAGGACACGTTAAAATTTTTATATATTTATAAATTTATTATATATCAAATATATGAATAGTTTATTCAAGGATAAAAATGAAATATAGAAAATTAACTAATTAAAATTAAAAATGCACATATTCTATAACTTAAACGTCAAGCTGTTATTCATGTAATAATTGCAATTTAAAGGATGCAAACAATTGTAGAACAAAAAAATACGCATGATGAATTTCATTTTATACATGCTTCAAAACATATTTGGAATGAATAAGTTGCATTTCGAATAACATAAAACATTATTATCATGAAGAAATTTATCACATAAGTTGCGTTCGGATTCGAGAAGTGTCGTTGAAGTGTCTATAAAGTACCTGACATTATAAATTTACATTTTTAACTAAGACACGTTGAAAGAAGTGTCAAACACACTTTTTAAGAGTGTTCGTAGAGTGTCGTGTTTGACACAATTCTTAGTGTGACGCCATATTTGATAATTTTTATTCAATCATAGATGGGCCCACATAACATGCAAGACTATATACTACATGCCATGAATCTTTGGATAAGACCAGGAATACCTTACTAAATCTGTTATGTGAAATCATATACACACGATAAGAATCTGAACTCATTTTCTCAGGTGTAGACAATATATTAAGAGTCAACAAAAGAAAACACACAGAAAAAATGTCAAATTACATAACATACCATGTTCAAAAGGGCTGCAAAAACTGGAACACAAACATATCTATCCCATTTTCCTGTCATCCCTCCAGGTAGTTCAGCAGCAAATGCTAAAACCTGTAACAGTAAATTTCAGGCAGAGTTCCCTTTCTGATAATAAGTAAAAAGAAAAATACTTCCAATAGTAAACACAACTACTTTTAGAGGGAACCACTTTGAACCATATGGTCAAAAGTGGAATCAAAAGTGATTCTAAATAAGAACTATGGTTAAGGCTGTCGTTCCCCCACCCATCTTGTTGTGGGTGGAACAGGGGAGGGTTTGGTAAAGTCTTTGAACCCGGCCCCATTAAGTAATCACTAGGGGGAAAAAAAGAGTCATTTATGGAAATACTAGTTTTAGAAATGAAAAGAAAACCAAAAGGAAATGAAACTTTGAGTGCATATACATGCAAAAGGGTCCAAATGAGCACAAAATTTATCTACTTGGCAGTAGTATCTTATGTAATCCCACAAAAGTAAGCCTAATCGTTTAGATATCAGAGTCACATAGACATATACATCAGTCAACATCAACATCCCTAGTGATAATTTCACTTAAAAAAAAAAAAAAAACATTAATTCATTATAAAACTCTTACTAAAGACAAATACAGCCCGCGATTTCTTGGGATAAGTGTTGTAACATACTTGTTTAGTTCACAGTGATAATTTTGGATCCACTGTGCCTGTAACATTGCCTTCTCCAGTCAGAATGTGGTCTGGATCCTGTATAAATATATAAAACTCAATAACATTAGCTACAAAGAACTATAGATGGTGACAGAAACCAGGGCAAAGGGGATCTACCTCCATTCCCCATTTGATGTAATCTGGAGATTCGCATGCTTTATATTCATCAACCAAACTCTCAATTATATCCCTTGATTCATCAAATTCCGAAAGATCATTGTCCTGCATTTCAATATCACAGATGAATCAGACCAATGTAATAATTATACAACCAATCTATAAAGTAGATCAGCACAAAAAGAGGTATCTATCATGCATCTTGCTCTGACAAAAAAAAAGGTACTGAATACATTAGAAAACATAAACCTGCTGCCAAAAAAATTGGGTAGCTTTTCGGCAATCAGGTATGTACCCTCTCACTTAGTTTTCATCAAACCTTCAATTGGGATTTTTGAGATTGAGCACAATAATTTTCCTTATCATTATCACACAATATCTCACAAGATTATATACAAAAGGACTCATTATTCTCATCACAGTAATCACTAGTGAACAGGTCCAATAAAGACAGCCTTGGCCCCAAGGAAGATAAAGTATCAGAATTCATCAATGCCAGGCAATAAAGCATTCAAATACATTCTGTCCTCCAATTCAAACAAGATATTCCGCACATGAAAAAACTGACTAAAGGTGCACATATCTACCTCCATACAAGTTGCTTCCTTGAAGATTTCTCACTAATGTCTTAGGTTTGCAATTTGCATCTTGGTAGGACTAAGTTGTTAGAATTTGTCCAATAATAGACTGTATAATGGGCTATGAAGCACGGGTACGAGTATTGGTATTGGTACGATACGGGTACGTCAATACAATAAAATCTAAAAAAAATAGGGTACGGGGTACAGCTTGATACGCTTGCAAAAAAACATTTATTTTTAATTTAGAGTAATGCAAAAATTAATTAAATGGTTCAACTTGTTAAGATCCAATCTATAATTAACATTTAATGGCAAAAGTAAAGGTATAAATCAAAATTAAATGTCAATATATTAAATAACTTACAAACCATAGTTTAATTTTAAAATTATGCTAAGTATGAAACTAAAAATAAAAAATAAGTCTAATAAAATGAGTTTTATCTCTATAATAGAAGAAAATATTATTTCAACTGAGGCACGATATGGCTTGGGTATATACTAGGTATGTCTGGATACGCCAAAAATTAAAAAGAAAAAATTTGGTTATATGTTTCGTGTACCCAGTATGTATGCAGAAGTACCATACAAGGTATCATATGCCGGAAAGTACCTAGTACGGGTACGGCATGTTTTTCGAAGTACCCATGCTTCATAGATAACGGGTCGTTCAACAGGCCCAAAGAACGCCATTGATGTGTGTGTAGATGGCATAATGCCACTCCCATGGATGTAAAGAGTAGGTGTTTCTACGTCTTAAGTTTTTCTGATCCCAATAAAATAGGGCAAAGGCAGTCCTAAAGGATCACAGAAGTGGCTAATTGTTTTTTCATCTCAAGTTGCACAACACTTTTTGGCAGGAGCACTTCAGTCATTTTAAAGAAATATATGATTGATATATTTAAAAAAAAAAACAATGGAAGAAGAAGAAGAGGTAATAGTCTGTTTCCTTTGATTCACATGTAGAACTGTAGCAAAAGAGCTGAGCCACCTTGGTGATTCCAGAAAATGAACAACACCTCATAAGCACAGGATCAAAGTCAAGGTTGACATATTAGAACTAGTAAACCAGGTGCAGCACAAAGATTTAAACACTCATGAATGATTATTTATTTATGATAATCATCCATCTGACTGGATACTGCTAGCTCGGAAATTAAAAACCCAAGCAAGGTACTACTTATCAATCACAATAGCAATTCTTAATTTCTTAGTACATTGACAAACTATAACGAAATATAGTTACGATAGTAATGAGGTGGACAACTTACAGCAAACATTGGGAACTTCCTATAGTTGTCAAGAAACGCTTGCTTCTTTCTCAACTTCTCATACTGGCTTAAACACTTACTGAAGAGGTGCCGGATACTAGTATGACTTGCGAGCATGAGTCCACTGACCTAATAAATGTAAAATGCAACATATGTCCTTTGTTATTATTATTTCTATAACTAATCATCCAATATAAAATTATTTCCAACAAGCCAAATAATTTTTTTTTTATAAATAAAAATGTAAAATTTCCTGTAAAACATTCAAGAATAGAAAAACCAACAAAAAGTTACACAAGGAACCTGTGGAAGTCAAAATCTCACCCTATGAGCAGTTTGAACATATGGAGATTTTCTAGACAAAGCAACCTGCAATAATGGAAAAGCAAAAGATATCACTACTTTCAAATAAAAAACAGAAAAAAGAATGAGCTGAACAGAACACCAAAATGCTTTTGAGAGGCATACCTGAATGCTTGCAGGACCCCATTCAATAAAATTAACAAGTTTTCTTTCACGTATTCTCTGCAAACTTTCATGAACCTGATTTGAGGAGCACAAGTATCAGAATACATTTCATTCATATAACTAATCAAACTATTACCATCCTAACAAAATATTGCAAACTTTAAGTTAGATGGAGGTCTAAGAAATATGGCCCATTTCTCAATGAGTTTGCAATACAATTAACCAATTAAATTAAATAAATTGCATGCCTTCATCACTCCTTGCACAATCAAGTCACTGTGAAAAGACTTAAAGCACATGGAAAGTTTACAGTGTAAAATATTCAGGGATGACAATGACTGGGAAAATAAAACTTCCATCGAAGAGAAGCAAATGAAAGGCTTTCATAAATATTCTCGTAGAATCGAGAATGAAAATAACATATCATCATTACCTGAGTAGGGTCCACTTCCCCTTGAATAATATTCAATATTGATATGTATTTCGCCTGACTAGCTTCTTTTGTGCGAGCATAAGAGGAAACCATGATATTCTTTGTCTGCAAAACAAACCTCTATCAGAATCACGGGTTCCAATGCTTTGTTGAAAAAACACGTAAGCGAAATTTCTCTTTCCTGCAGAAGTCTCCTCATAACATCTAGCACAGTAGTTTTACGAATCACATTAGCCTGCCAAGAAGAGATATATCTAAATCAGCTGCTTTACTAATAATCAATCACATATATTGCTGAATAAATATTATGAACAGGGACAGTATGAGTATCTATATCTTACCTGGCGCTCCACTGTAAGTGGTGTGTATCCAGTCATTAGAAAATGGCATCTTGGCGTTGGAATTAAGGAGGCAAGAAGGCCAACTAAGTCATTGTTCATATATCCAGGATAACGCAATGTGGTTGTGCTTGCTGACATGACAGTAGACACCAATGAATTTGTTTGAGCAAAAGTAGGATTTGCAAGATGAAGTCGCTCCACAGCAATTCTATTGAGTGCAGTATTATCAAGAACAACAACACAATCAGCATTTAGGGTAAGTCTCTTGAGGGTCAAAAGTGAATTGTAAGGCTGGACCACCACATCACTTGTCTCCATCTGGTTAGGGAATACACTATATGTCTGAACAAGTTTTTTGCTGTAGCGATCATTCAGAGTCTCCAGCAAATATGAACCCATACCTGCATGAAATCATCCAATTATTTATTGAATGGAAAACCCCAAAAGTTAAAACCACTCAAACGGATTAGTTAAGCAGTCATATTATACATTATCATATAATTCCAAGAGTTACAGTGGTTAGGAAATCCTTGACCATTACTATTATTGTAATGACCCTCAAGGTTGAAAAGCATAATTTCATGTCTTAAATAGGGATAGTAAGCTGAGTTTAGTTTGAATGCCAGTTTACCACTCAAGTGGGGAGAGAAAAACAAAGCGTATCATTTTAGTTCATTCTAAAATTGTAATTGATGGATAGATTTCAGTCTTGATGAAAACCTATACCATATTGAAATGATACAGTTTAAAGAATGAAATTTCACAACAAATACCAAAATTTAAAACATCTTGATAGAAAAGAAATGTTAAAGAAGAGTTGGACCTGATCCTGTTCCTCCAGCTATTGAGTGGCATAAAACAAAACCCTCAAGACTATCACTTCCATCTGCTTCTCTATCAATCATATCCATTATGTCCTCCTCAACACCCTTCCCCTGATCCAAAATATTAGCAACATTAAAATATGCGACATGTTCAAATTTATGGACAACCACTTTGTGACAGTAGCAGTAAGCATTAGCTTTGTACCCATTCAATTCCTCACCACATGTGTTGGTGATAACAGAATTAAGTTATTACCTAGGATGCAAGGACAAACCTACTAGGGTGCAGCCAGGACCACGTCAAACACCAACACTTTCCCAAACAAGTCAAATACATGTCCTAATGTATCCTACTATCTTTTGAACATTTTAAATACTGGACATGTTTCGAACACAGGTGTCCACCATCTAAACACAATTAGACACATCCAGTGTCTAGTACAAGTTTGATTAAAATAAAATGAGGGTTAAATTTTAAATAAAAGAAAAAAGTAAGGAATCATATTCTCCCTTCTTTGGGATTCCCTACCCCCCCCACCAAAATCCTAGACCTTTATCTATCTATTTATTTATCTGACAAGTAGAAACTGTAGACCATTATGACTTCCAATACAACATGTTGATACTGCAACTTCACCCCAAACAGCCTAGTCCATGTAACACAGGACACGCAAAACATTCTTCAGAAATGTTTCTAGTAGTGTCGAAGAACCATTTGTCTCTAACGCAACCACAACTCATTAGAATTGTCCATGCTATTACATTGTAGATTATGGATAAATGATTACTGAATCACTGGACTGGAGATTTGGCTATGCAAGAAAAAGCTGTCACAAATAACAGTAAAAGTGTTGTTTTATGAAATAACTATATTATCCTTCTAATAAGTAACTATCTGTCTCTTTGGTGCTTAAGCAAACAAATCCACAAATTTTTTTGTTTCTTTCCTTGGCACAAAACTAGGACATAACATAAATCTCATTAAAAGTTCATCCTAAAATCATTTACGGTATATATTGAGGTCAAGCATTCATATGTATTTAAAGTTCTACATAGCTTAAAATGAAGTTTAACATCAATCACAGGTCTACAAATCAAGCAAGATAATCTAATACTCACACAATACAAGCATATGTTGCACTGTACAACTTTCAGAATAAAAAGAATCCCCAGTAGCACTAAAAAGTAGTTGAGACTTGACAGCATCTAGGTAAGCTAACCAGAGAAAAGGAAAGTAATGAACCTGATGATATCCACTGGCCCAGTTATTTCCAGCACCACCTCCATGATCTGCAATAAATACATTCTCATGATTGTAGAGATTTCTATATTCACTGTTCTGAATACCATTAATAACCCTAGGCTCCAAATCAATCAGCAAAGCTCGTGGTATGTAGTGTTGATCATCAGCTTGGTAGAAAAACACGTCTTTTCTGTCACCTCCCTGCAGCATTTCAAATTCAATATTTAATTATAGACCACAATGCTCATTCAAAGTATAACAAGTAAAATAAAGACAAATTTTCGGGGACCAACTTCGATGGGATCGGTAAGTTCCAAGTGACTCTTGTTATTTCTATTAAGCAAAAAATGAGCCAACAAAGATTAGGCAAACTGGTTCATATGTATTAAGTATTAACCATGCTACCAAGTCTAGAACATTACACTCGAGGGTTCTATTAAGTCACAAATTTCCCAAAAGCCTGAGTTGTTAGGAATGGGTCCAACAATGCATGTCAAGCTATCTAACACCCTCCCCCACGTGCAACCCCGTCTTGCATGTGGAGAGAAACAAAAAACCAAATAGAAGGAAAAACAAACAACCAAACAAATCAGAAGAAACCAAACGGAGAAAGAATACAAAATGTCAACGAAGAGACTTGAACCCAAGGCCTCTCTTAACCTGAGCTCTGATACCATGTTAAGTTACCAATTTTCCTAAAAACCTAAACTGTTAGGAAATGGGCCCAACGATGCATATCAAGCTAACTAATAGGTGCGTTCCAACTTCCAAACAATACCTTGTCAAGAAATGCACCAGTTTTTCCATTGCAAATGCACTAGTAATTTATATAGCCAATTTTTTAAATCTGGAGTCACAACTAAAGATTGGGACCCTAACCCATAGAAACCCCTATGACAGTTATGCACGCCAGTATGTGTGCAGCTCCAAATTTAGTTATTTCAACAATTGTGTACGATCATGTCCAATTTCCAAATATAGTCCAATCATAAGGTATACGAATTTATAATAGAAAAGCCATGTTTAAAAGTAAAATCATAAAATGAGCCCAAAAATATAAAAACCAATCCACATTTGTCCCGAAGTAGACATTAAAATCTGACTTGAAACTTCATCCTAGATACCGACATTTGAGTCAAAACTTATAAATGGCAAATTACAGTGCCTCACGTTACCAACAAATTTAAGCATAGTTTAATTTAGCAGGTACAACAACAGCCAATCAGAAGCTGATAAACAAACAATTAACACAAGCATCAAAGTCCTAGCAAGGAAACAAGTTCTAATTCTTCATAACACTCCAAACCTAACACTATCATCATTTTTTTTTTTGTGTGGCTAAATTGACAAATTAATAAACCTAAAAATATTAATGCCAACAGACAAACAATCTCCACCAACCGGTAGCTGAGAAAGTACACAAAACGAAAAAAAATAAAAATAAATTAAATTACTCTCAATTGAACCTAAATAATAAATTTAGATTAACTCAATCGAGTTCTATTTTCCATTTCTTGTTCTCTTTTCTCTTCTCTTTTCTTTTTTTTTTTCACATGAAACACAAAAATTGAAATTACCGTTCATTTTCTTTCCTCTATGCTAAATTTTCTCGGCAACCAAACGGATCGTAGGTGTAAAAATCCAAATTCAATAAATAAAAAAGAGTAGGGGAAGAAAATGGAGTGAACCTGAGTAGCGAAATCTTCGAGGATGCCATCTTTGCTGATGCCGTGCTCGAGGCAGAGTTGCTTCCAGAACTCCATCCCGATCTGGTTCCCACATTGTCCCACTTGCAGAGTGATGATTTCTCGCGGCATATTCTTTTTCTATTTCCTTTCCTCTTCGTTTTCCCGAGAAAATTAGGGGTTCGATCTGAGAAAATTGAGGGCTCTGGCGGGGGATCACTCTTTCGAAAAAGAGGGAGGAAAAGAGATGCTTAGAGGGAGTGTGCACTGTGTGTGCGCACTGCGCTGTGGGTAGTAGAAAACAGGAAAGGATAAATTACACTTTGCCCCTTTATCTTTGATTATTTTTTATTTTGGGCCTTAAATTTTTTTTTAACTTTGACTTTTTACATTTTATATATATATATTTTTTATTTATTTCAAAAACTAATTTATGTCTAAAATCATGCAGAAAACAATAGATGACAGTCACCTAATATAAAAATATTTTAGAAAAAATTACAGATAAATGGTGTCAAAAAAAATATTTACAAAAAAGTAATAAACATTATAAATATTAATAATAATTATTATAATTTTTAAAATATTTTATTATATATAATTCATTTTTAACACAAATCTAAACCTTAATATAATAATATAATTTATATTTTTTGTTTAATTTTAAACAGAAATAAATTTTTAAAAAAAACTTAAAACAATGAAAGGCTAAAATAAAAATAAATAAAAAATAATGAACAGTCAAAAGTGAAAAAATAGTCAAACTGACAAAATGTAATTTACCTAAAATAGAAATGCATTGCCGGCCAAAGCTATTGTAAGCCGGATGGTGCTATCTTAGGCAGTATGTGCTGGGAAGTGGTTTGGGCCAATTATTACAATATGCAAAACAAACCCGACATGAAATTCTATGTTAAGCCTAAGCAAAGCTTATGTAAACATATGAAAAGCTCAGCCCAGCCCAACATGGAGTGAATGGCACGTATTAACATATTTTTCTTTTTCTTTTTCTTTTTTCTTATTTACCTCAAGGTTGGATGGTAACGAATTAGTAGTTAAATTTCTATACAAATAATATATTTCTATAGAATTGAACTAAAAAAATCTCACGTTACCCTCTACTGTTCTCGCAAGACTATTTGAGTTATAGCTTAGGACTTAACTTATTTGTTTATTTATTATAAATTGTCACATTACTTTTCTATTTTTTAACACATCTATACGTAAAAAGCCAACACATCACTAAATAAGCTAAACCCAAACGTTATTCTCTGTTAAATTCTTATGTATCCAAAAGTTTTATATGTAATTTTTCACCTTTATCAACCAAGTTCTTTTATTTTGCCAAATAAATAAATCAACAAATCATAAGAATGATTCTCCTACTTTTTAAAAATCTCTTAAATTTATCTTGATGTATTTATCATACGAGTAAATTTCAAACATATTTGTCTATTTCAATAATTCTCTAGTTTTTTCACAAATCTTTCAATCATTGTAAATAATTTTGGCTTTTTACCCTGAATTTTCCATTAAGCTTTTTCCCCCCCTATATATATACATATTGCTTTTTTCCAATCAAAAGATTTTCTTGAACATCAATAATTTTCTCAAGTAACTCCCAAATCATGAATGAAACTTGTGATTGTAAAATGTAACTATGATTATAATACTCTAGGTGCTTGCTTTACACTTGATTGCATTTTCTTCTTGTGCAATTTTAATTTCTTCTGAAACCAAATTTGTTAATCAAATAGATAATAGCTGTGTATTTCTAACAACTCCAATCATTCATCAAATCTTTCATCCAATTTGAATTTGAAGAAGAAAAAAATACTAAAATGAGCTCTAATCACTTCATCCAAAGTCATATCAAATCAATGAAGAACTAAATTCTTTATTTAATTTTCAATAGTTATATTTTTATTCAAATCTTGTAAAATTTAAAAAATAATAAGGATTGAAGATGGTTTAGGGAATAAGTTGAAACTTTTTCGCTCAAATAATAATAAGAATTAGATTACTCCTTATCACATCAAGGACCAAAATTTCACTCAAATCTGATCCCAAAAATAAAATAATAATAATAATAATAACAAAAGAGTAAAGATTGGAGAGGAACCTGATAATAATAAAACTTTTAGATAGAACCTTTTCTTTGAATTAATCGCAAGTTTAACTAAAACCCAAGCTTATTTTAATTACTAAATCCGAGATGAACCAAACTAGAAACCTAGTTGGTCAACTTAGACTAATTTATACTTTTCCGTTCCAATCTTGACTTAATAGGAAAGCTCACCGCTAGTTTCATTGATGGTGTAAATTCAAATCACAAAAACAGTTTGTCCACAAATGAAAAATAGGAAGAGAGAAGAAGAAGACGATGATATTAATAACTATGTAATTAGGTTACAAAAGTTTACCTTAATCATACATCCAACCAAAACCTAGATCATAAACCCATTTGTTACACACTTCCAACTTACAAAACACATAACAATACTTGGTCGCTACAACCTTTACATTAGTTTAACAAGTGGCCATTTTTGGGGTATGGTTTTGCTGCTACTACTTAAAATTCAATCCTTGCCATATGCAACCATCATATCATTCAGAAATTGAATCTCAAGAAGGAATGGCAATACCATAGCTCAAAAAAGCACTACTACTAGTCTCTCTCTCTCCCATTAAACTTAGTTGTGATTCCACAAGAAAGCTCCCATGGCAAACTTCCTTTTTTGGTGGACATCTCCGATGATCGGTAGCCCATACTCAGAGAGTAAACAATCGAGTTTCCACTCTGGCATGGTCTCGTACTCGGCTCTGGTGTACCTAGGGTAATGTAAAGGCATTTGAAAGTATCCGCACCGCTCCTTGTCCTTGGCATGTTGCCCATTAGCACCACCTCCACCACCTAGTTTTTGAGGTGGCCTAGCATAGGACTCCACACCTCCTCCACTCATATTTTTGCCTATACTTGCTTTTGTTCTAATACTTACTATAGCCACTTACATCAACACTATGGCCTATTTATGGCGAAGTTTGAGAGAGAGAGAATGTACTAGAGCAAGCAAGCATTGTCGAGGTAGGTACGTATTTAATTTCTGAGAAAACAATGCTTTTAAGATATGATTTCTTTTCTTACTTTTTTGAATTTTGGGGAAAAATTTAAAAAAAAGACATCAATTGGATCAGAACAAAAAATCCAATCTTTGAACTAAAGTTGTTACAACCACTCATTGACAAAATAAAAGGCCCCACAAAAAGTTTTCTTAAGGTATAAAAGACAATTACCTCAACTAATACAATTGGAGGTGTTTGGGAAGGAATTTTTGTTGCTTTTTGGGCTAAAATCCACAAAATAGATCAAAATAGCCAATAAGACAAAATGTCACATCAAACCCATAATCATTTCACTTTTTCTCTTACAAAGATCACATCCAACTATCTTTCCAAATCCAAAAATTTTAGCCTACTAAGAGCATCTCCAACGGTGAATCAAAAATTTCACCAAATCTGAGTTAAAAAATGGCCATTTCCTGAATTTGATACTTCAGGCTCCAACGGTTCACCTTCACCAAATCTATCCCGGGACAACCGGGTGGTCGACCGGCCGGTTGACCAGCCAGGGAATTTTTTTTATTTTTTTTTTGAACTGTTTGAACTTTTTTCTGAACTGTTTGAATCTTTTACTGGTTGACCGGTTGGTCAACCGGCCGGGCAACCGGTTGGTCGACCGATGTACCATTTTCAACGGTCAGTAACAGTAATTTGGTAAAATCTGTGCCTTGATCTCAGTTTGATGTCTTGTTTGCTGAATTCTCATTTTGGTATGACTTTGGTGCAACTGTTGGAGCGTGAAAAAGTGAGTTTTTCATCAAAATTTAAATCTGATGCTGGGTTTGGTTCACCGTTGGAGATGGTCTAATGTTAAGAACAAATGTTAAAAAAGCAAATGTTAAAAAACCTGAAAAAAAAATCACTAAAAAAAAATAAAAATAAAATTTTAAGACATTTCCTTTTTATTTTATTTTTTTTGTCTTCAATCAACTTTTTCAGATTTTTGTCAATCATGTTTTTTTTTAAGATGCACCTAGAGATTATACAAAGTAAAAATATAAAAAAAGACTAAAATATGGGGAAAATATAAAGACAAAAAACACGAAAAAGAAGGCGGCAGAAACCAATTTTTGAAATCTAAACAAAATTTGTTTATACCACTGCAACTCTAAATTCTGCATAACCCCTCTGTGATTAAGCATTAATTTACAATTAATTGGAGAGTCAATGAGGACATGATCTGGATTTCCCTCAGTATCCTTCGTACCCTATGAATCATACAAGTTTATTTCTCAAGTCTATTTGAAACTAATGCATTGCAACCAACACAAGTGCATACATACATATATGATATACATACATACTTCTTCGGCAAATCACTTGTACAATAGTCTTCTCCAAGCTAAACTACTTAATAAAAGATAAGATGGTCCAAAACAGGTAATCCTCAAGGGCTAAAGTTTACTATCTCTTCATATATTGCATAATATTAGAACATGGTATTTTTATTTTTTTTTGGAGAGTTTTAATCCAGTGTGATGGCACATATATTTACATCATAAATCATAAACCTCAAAAAAGAGAGTAAAACTGACGGCTAGGATTAAACAAAAGCAAAAAACAGAATCATGCATAAAGCGCGCTTTTTTTTGTGCCTTCTGCCTTGCGCCTTAAGCGCTTAAGGTGCGCGCCCCACTGTGCCTCTTTGAATGCGCCTCACTTGGGCTTGTACAAGTCGCACAGGCTGTGCCTTGCGCCTAGGCGCGCCTTTTACAACACTTTCTTGGTTGGGAAAGAAGTTTGTTGTTGTAAGAGAAAAACAATAAAAACAAATAAATAAAAGCAAATTTTAAAAGTAAGGACGAAAAAAGTGACTCAATCATACTTGATTATCTTTTTCTTTTTTGATACTTGATCTCTATCTCTCCCCTACTTTCTTAGATCCTTTAATAAATTTAATATTTTTCTTTGACAAAAAGAGGCAAGTTTTGTTTAAGTGGAAATATTGAAATTTTGATATGTCACAAATGTTTGTTACAGTTTCCTAAGAATGGAATTGTATCGACAATTTCAATACATGAAGTTTTGTTCCTTGAGCATGGAGTGGCTGCTATGTATCTTCTAAAACAACCCGTGACTTGTCAAGTTCTAAATGTAGAGAAAGACATTTCATGTGCAACAATCACTAAATGATGTATGTATGGAACTAAATCAATAGTCTTTGGGAAAAACTACTTTACCTTTCAATCATACTTGATCTCTATCTTTCTTTCTTTTTTTGGATACTTGATCTCTATCTCTCCCCTACTTTCTTAGATCCTTTAATAGATTTAATATTTTTCTTTGACAAAAAGAGGCAAGTTCTGTTTAAGTGGAAATATTGAAATTTTGATATTCCACGAATGATTCGTTTCAATTTCCTAAGAATGGAAATGTATTGACAATTGCAATAAAACGAAGTTTTGTTCCTTGAGCATGGAGTGGCTGCTATGTATCTTCTAAAACAATCCGTGACTTGTAAAGTTCTAAATGTAGAGAAATATATTTCAAGTGCAACAATCACTAAATGATGTATGTATGGAACTAAATCAATAGTCATTGGGAAAAACTACTTTACCTTTCAATCATACTTGATCTCTATCTCTCCCCTACTTTCTTAGATCCTTTAATAAATTTAATATTTTTCTTTGACAAAAAGAGGTAAGTTTTGTTTAAGTTGAAATTTTGATATTCCACAAATGTTTCATTTCAGTTTCCTAAGAATGGAAATGTATCAACAATTTCAATAAACGAAGTTTTGTTCTTGAGCATGGACTGGCTGCTATGTATCTTCTAAAACAATCCGTGACTTGTCAAGTTCTAAATGTAGAGAAAGACATTTCATGTGCAACATTCACTAAATGATGTATGTATCTAAAATCAATAGTGTATGGGAAAAACTACTTTACATTAGTATACCGAATAAGCCAACCTAGGGTTATAGGTAACAAAACTAAATCAACTCCGCAGTAACTCCTAAAATGGTGTTGGTGAAAGTTTCAAGTTTTTTTTTTTTTTTTTTTTTTTTTTTTTTTGAACAGTCATAAAAGTTTAAGGTTGATAACAATAATTCTGTACAACTTGCTATTTAAATTAGCAAGTTGTGGGCTCCCTAGTAGGCCCATGGAAGCCCAACAACACAAGAGAAGCAACTGCCTTATACTCTATGCAACAATAATTACAAAGCTCCTCCAATTGTTTTTGTCCACATATTTACTTCAAGGACAAGAATACACATTTTCCAACTCTTCAATCAGTGCATTCAATACTGTACATTTACATTGTGCGTCAGTTAACATGATGCATCAATAATAAGAGATGTACAGAATACCAAGAGATTATAGACCACAGAAAGGGCTAGATTTTGCACAAGACCACTGCATGTGGGTACCAGCAAACAAGTCCAACAAAATTCAGTGATAGGATTATGTTTTTAATATTAGAAAAGACTTGACAGTACTCCCATCATTATTGGGTTAGTTGGTGAGACAATAAGTAGAGATGAATATAATCTGACCTATGGTCATATTTGATTACATTATCAGTTTCTTATTTCTACTTAAAAAAATTAAAAATTAAAAAATTATTTATTTTATTGTAAGAAACAAGAATAAAAGACTTGTTTGGCGTGCACAAAAACATTGAAACCCCCCCCCCCCCAAAAAAAAAAAAAAAAACCTTTACTGAGTTGCCAGAAGTGGTGGCTAGAGATGGCCGCTAGAGTTGGTGGTCGAAATGTTGCCAAGTCATAAGTAGATCAAAGGTCACTGGAGATCGCAAAAAGTTCTTGGAGGATCGCTGACAACTGGCCGACTGACGATGGCTGGAGGTGGTGAGAAAGGAAAAGAGTGCAACCTTGTTTGGAAAACAAGTGAAAACACATTTTTTTTTCATTTCTAAAAACTTCAAAAATTTTAAAATTAATTCCACTTTTTTTAAAACAAAAACAACATACCAAATAAGTTAACGTTTCTAATTTTAAAAAACAAATGAAAATGGAAACAAAAACATTACCAAACGAGACATTAATGAAATAATTACATAAGAAGTAGGGATGGACCCAAGGGGAAGTGGTTGAGGGCTACCACCCACAGCTTTTGAAAATTTCCTTGAATATAGTAGTGATAGTTAAGAAAATTTTTAAATTATATACCTTTGCCCCCTAAAATTTTTTGTGAAAAATTTAGCACCATCCCCTTGAGATTTTATGTACTTATTTAATTTTTTATAAATACCCTTGAGATTTTATTTTGAAAATATTAAATGTATTGTAGACAAGTGTATTCACCCCCGATAGATTAGAATCGTGCGTCCATCCTATATAAGAAGTGTACATGTATGTCCCATACTATGTTACATGGACTCTTCAAATTAAATCAAATACCCGTGTCGGACACCCGACACTCGGACAAGGGTATGGGATATGTGTCGGATACGGGCTACCACCCACAGCTTTTGAAAATTTCCTTGAATATAGTAGTGATAGTTAAGAAAATTTTTAAATTATATACCTTTGCCCCCTAAAATTTTTTGTGAAAAATTTAGCACCATCCCCTTGAGATTTTATGTACTTATTTAATTTTTTATAAATACCCTTGAGATTTTATTTTGAAAATATTAAATGTATTGTAGACAAGTGTATTCACCCCCGATAGATTAGAATCGTGCGTCCATCCTATATAAGAAGTGTACATGTATGTCCCATATGCTTCTAGGCTTCGCATTTCATGTTATTGTTACCCTTGCAAATTCTAGTTGTTTTTATTTTTTTTAACTGACAAAATGAAAATTCTACATCCATAGATGACATCAGTTGTAGGATAGATATTAGTACATTACGGATCTGTCATTGTTCTAGAACAATTATTGTTGTTTCCTTTCAATCATAGAATTACTTTCATTTGTTGAAAAGGTATAACCATGTAAACTTCTATAAAGTTAATTGGGTTATATGTTACAAAATATTCCCTTCAGTTGTATCATTTCTTTATCTTGCTAAATTTTAAATATATATATATATATATATATATATTTCATTAAGCAACAGCAAATGTTTTCTTTAAATAACTTTGTTATTGCAAACTTAAATTATTGCCTTTCCTTTCAATGTTCCAATTTTTTTTATTTTTTTATTTTTCCTTTCATTTATTTATTTACTAAGATTTCAATAGGTTGAGGTGAAATAACCATGCAAACTTCTACCAAAGTCAATGGGGTTATGTATTATAATATATTTACGCATTCACTCTAATCTAGTATCTTATTTTAAATCATAAAAATGCCCTAGTATACCATCATAAATTTTCAAGGTTCATCTTCATTACTAATTTACCTTCCTTTCCTCCAACTTGAGGCAACTACATAGAAGTAAAACCCTAAAGGCTTGTTTATATTTCTTCTATTGGATTGGTTAGATGACTCACATATCAGAATAGGGCTGAGCTCTAATAACTTTCATAAGTATCTGAAAGCAAGGTCCATTTAGAATTCATAATGATGAATCTAATCCATAATGTTCAAACAAAATTTTCCATGATTTGTCTTTTTAGCATCCCTTTCCGTTGTCCTATTGTATGCTACATGTCAAAAATTCATAACAACATTAAATTTCTTTTCTATACAGCACCATTAGTTTTCTTTGAAAATGTAAACATACCAAAGAATTGTTCGCTTTGATGAAGACGATACATCAGGATTCTGATTTTCAATCAACAGAGGCTTCAATATCAGTTTGAGAAGCTGCTTTTGCTGTTGAAGTCAAATCCAGAAGCATGTTTACAGGGGCAAAATACAGGTGCAGCGACATCATGCAGATAATAATCCCCAAAAAGAGCTGCACATATACAAGGAAAAGGAATAGGTTATGTAAGATCAGTAATGTGAATAGCTACCTAGCAAAAACAACAAAAAGACGAACAAGAAAAAATTAAATAAAGGACAAATTATACTCGTAGTCCCTATAGTTTGTCTATTGTGTCAATTTGTTTCTTTTAGTTCTAATTGCTTCAATTTTACCCTTGAAATTTTCACATTGTGTCAATTTAATTCAATTAACAACAACTCTTAAGAAATTGGACTGAAATTAAATAGAAAAATACTCTATTAACTCTCCTCAAAAACGACTGGGGGATTTGTGTCTAATTTGTACTCTCCTCAATGTGATTAGGGGTTAGCATCTAATTTGAATGATTTATTACTTTTTTGAATGAACAATTTAACCCTTCATTTCAGTTCCGGAATATTATTAATTGGACTAAATTGACACGACGTAAAAAATTAAAGGGCAAAATTGATACAATTGGAACGGACTACCAGGATCAAATTAACACAAGAGACAACTTAGAGGGATCACGGGTATAATTTATTCATAAGTAAATAAATTCATGATTGCCAAACAAAACAGGGAGCATAATCTGCTCATGGAGCTATAGATGCATAAAATGAGTGTCGTAAAGCTTTAGCCATTTACCTATATTATTTTGGACACATAATTCAGATTATTTGATTTAATCATGAGAAGAGTGCACACCTAGTGGAAAAGGAAATTGTTTCCTCATCTGTTTAGGGACATCTAAAGACAAATGCTTATTGTACACAATAATGGAGAAACAATAACGACAAGAGTGAATGGAAGGAAAAAAAAAAACAATATGGTGAGTCCATATGAAGTTTAAAAACTTTCATTTACCCCATGCCACCAAAGCAAAATCAGGCACAAACAAATAGTTGGAAATGTTGTATTAGAGACATTTTGTCTCCATGTAGTGGAAGATGTTCAAATGCTTCCTTAAGAAATTGTTTTAAAAAGACAGTGGCTTGATCATTGGGGGAAAAATGAAAACTGAAAAATAAACCATTGGGGTCTTACCTGCAACGTGGGCCTGAAAGTAAAGAGCAACGTAGATAAAACCATGGTCAGTAGCATCGCCATTGATGTGGAATATACCTGAAAGTTGCAGCAAAATATTAATAAATGTATAAAATAAAAATGCTGATAGGAACATTACAGTAGACAATAAAATTAATTATTGACATTATCACCTGCTAGTTTTACTAGTAAACAATTTGGCTCTTTCAAGCTTGATGAATATTGAGCTTCAATTTTTAGTTATTTAAATAGCATGGCAATAATTAGGACACCCTAGGACCAAGGAATAGGATATTACTATCATGGATATCAGATAAGGACTGCAAATGATTGCTGGAGACAGCAGTATTATACAGAACTGCAGGTGCAATAGTGGTCTTTCAAGGTACCAACTACAATGCAATATTTTATAGGAATCGAGTAAAATCAAATATACAAATATATATGTCTACATACATACATATGTGTGCATATGTAGATGTTTACCTATACTCTTCTCATTGGGACAAGAATTTATGTAGCCAACCCATGACTTTGTTGAGTTGAGAACATAATGCAGGCTATAATATAACATGAGCATGAAAATGTAAATTAAAGAGGAGGCAAAATATGGAAATTGAAATTATTTCAATATGGGAACAATGAGAACCATGTTTAGTCAAACTCAGTACTATGATATTTAGATTAGTATAAATCTGGTAAGTTTCATTGACATTTTCTAGTGTTTCACAAGTTAGGAGGTTTTTGGCAATTTTTAAAATTTCTTGACAGGTACTAAAATAATGGTAAATGGGTACTTAAAAAAACAAAAACAAAACTTAAAGAGATATACCTTTACAATGTTGTCAGCATATTTCATCAACCAGGAAACAAGAAGGCCAGTGGAACCCAGATTTAACACCACCATCCACGTTGTAATGCTGTATCCATTGAAAAGCCGTTGCCACCATGGTCCTCTATGAAATCCACCTCTGAAATCATCCAAGAGAAGGCGTGCCATATTGAAAATTGCACCAAACCTGAAAAGAAGACGATAAGAATGCAAAATTTGAATCATGTTAACTTTGAACATAAATTGCAACAAGCTGTATTTGCACAAAGAAAGTAACCTACGTATATAATTGAACATTCTGCCAGTACAAGCTGTCATTATTCTTCTTCATCAAGAATTCTGTATAAACACCAGCTAGTGCGGAAAGACAAGCAGACAATATCCCTAACATGTAACCTTGAATTGGTGATGAGAAGAGGGAGTCACATGAAGCTTCTCCACAGCCTTTAGCCTAAACGGACAACAGAAAGGGAGAGGAATGGAATTAGTATTGCAATTCAGCATGTAGGGGATATTTTCACTCTTAAGAAGCCTGAGCTCAAGACAACTATGTTCAAAAAAGTTTAGCATTTGTAAAAGATGTATCATATGGTAAATCAAGTTTGATTAGCTTACACCAATGTTACTTAGAATGTGGATTGTTCTGGAACGAAGTATCAGAAAGGAAACACGGTATGCCACATAATCTAAAATATAGTGATAGGGACAGATAGGCTTGTATAGATCACACTATAAGATTTATTAAGTCACTTCTAAATGTGAGACCAAATTTATGTTAACAATTACACATGCAACAAAACATGGACTATTTTTCAAATTAATCATGTAAAAAATAAAAACAGACTTATAGGTGCATTATGACAATTTTTTCCATTTTGTCTGGCTAAAATCCACTCGCTCTGGATTTTAATTCATCATATTTGATATTTTTTCCAAAAGAAAACATTGAAGAGAAGAAGAAAATTCAGATCACTAATTTCACTGTTTTAGAACTAAACAACACCATATTTCTGAACTAACATTTCAAAACAGAAATCACCAGTATATTAGTGTTTTCTAGTAACACTAGCTCAAACCATAACATAGTCAATCAACAAGCATCTACAGACCATTCGGTTGGTTTGATACCTATTGATGTTGAAAATCACATGCTCACATGAACTCTAGGTACCACGTTATCACTTTTTTAAATCACAACACATGCATGAATGCCATGTACCCAGTTATCATTTTTTAAGTGTGCAGCAATCCGATTCAACAGGTCACACAATGGAACAGTATTCTTGAACTAACACTGGTGTCCTGTTGTCTCTCAACACACATTAGGATATGAGTATCATTTGGCTAAAATCACTTCCATCTATCTAACGATTGTGATTAGTTCTCTCGTCTACAGAGCTATAGTATGGTGGGTCCACAATCCACAAAATAATCATGTGTTGGTAGACCATCTGCTTATTCAGTCAATCATGGAGCTGTAATTGCCCTCCTGTTACCACGTGAACTATACTTGTAACACTGCTACTAGTTGTTGAAACCTCAAGCACTTCTTTTAACCTTTAAGCACAAGTTCATAGAGAGGATTTATTAAATGCGTGTAACATGCTATGATTATAGAAAATAAGATAAATAATGGAGGTACTAAAACCCAGTAGCACCTGGCTTGTGGTCGTTCCCACAGCCAAAAGAACAATTGCCATCCACTGCAAGTTAGAAAGCTTCCTCTTCAAGAACATCCTAAAACATAAAATAGAAATAACTGCTAATTAGTGAAAAAAACAAAGCATTAGAACTTGTAAGGCCTAAAATAGATAATTACTTGAAAATAAATTTGGTTCTCAATTCATGGAAAAGAATCTGAGTGCTTAAATATTAGGTCTAGTCTATTTATCAAAAATAAATAAATAAATAAATATTAGGTCTGGTCTAGCTAGGTAAAATGACTGAGTGGCACCTGAACAAAATTCCAGTTGTGACAATCTTCAGATTTCCCATTATCTGATATGTGGAGGGATCCACGAATGTCAAGGTAGCAAATTGAACATTATTGTGGATGACGTATATGATAGATGGAATAGGATACAAACGAACACTCTTCCAGTCTGTAGTCATTCTGGGAGGAGTTGGTCTCTGGAACTCTCTCCAAAGAAAAAAACTGGATACAATAAGCTGCAATTTAACAATACCAACATTTTTTTTTTTTTTTAAAAAGGTTCAGTACGGTGTTGGAAATGTCATATAATACAATATAAAGTTCGCCCTTTGACAGAAATGCAAATTATCTTTTTGTATGCAAAACTTGCTGAGTACCTTGAATACTTCAGCAAGAAAAGGAACAGTTGCATAGTCATATTTATATCCTCCGTTACTCTGTGACAATGTAGTCAAAATTCCCTGCAATAAAGTAACAGACAAGAACCCATAAATTGGACAGCTAGAAGAGTAGACGCATACCTACTTATTCATCACCCTAAAACAAACAATACAAACTTAATCATCAAACTCTTTTACATGGCTAGAGAAGAACAGGCAGCAAAGGCGAGTTTTTTTTTTATACCAAAGTCGAGTTCTTTCCAATCAAATTTCCAAGATACAAGTTATATTGAACTTATTTCCTAGACCAATGTTGTTTAGTGAAGTTGTGTTTTGAAAACATGAGTTCAACTAATTTTTTGTATATTTTTTTGAAGTTACGTTTTCAAAACACAACTTCAACCGTAATGCCGTGTCTTGAAAAACACACAACTTTACAAAACAACGTGAGTTTGGAAAATAAGTTGAAAACAACTTGCATTTGCGAAATAGATGTAAATATCTAACAATGCCTATCAATTTCACATTTTTCATCATCAAAACAATTAGTCAATCTCAAAATTTGTTTTTCAAACAAAATTGATAACTACAATGTAGATTGATACTACGCTTGGCCTTTCTACAGTGTGTATTAATTTAAATGGCACACCTTTGTGATTGGGAAGTAATTCTACTATTTTTGAAAGCAAACATTTGCTTCCCATTTCAGCTCAAAGCAGCAAAAAAATTGAGTCTCAAAACCCTAGCCAAACACTACAAATTAAGCTTATGTACTACATTTCAACAATATCATTCTGTGATTGGAAAAACTTCAAATCATGAAGTGCAAAACCAAATCTCCAAGAAAAAACATAGATTCAGATCAATCCAACACCAAAATTACATACACAAACAAGCATGAACGCGTGTATATATATAGTCATAGCAAGTGAAAAAGTATGAAACAACCAATGCTGAGAAGTGATTAGGGTTAGGGTTAGAGAGACCTGAGAGCTGGTGAGGATGGTGAGAATCGCAGCAACGACGTACCACTGCATCTTCCCACACTGTCACACGGCAGATGATCTGCGTCTCGGAAATTTTTCTCATTTTGCAACAATGTATTTTCAGTCAAGGACTTATTTCTTTTGTTTTACATAGAGGTCCCTATGTTTTATCATTTTTCTAAACTGGCCATACTACTTCTGTCGATGTTCTTTGTCTTAGGAGTTTTTAAAAACAATTTTTGAATTTTCAATCCGCCCTTTTAATTTTTAAGGATTTTTTTAATATTTTAAAAAAATATTCCATATTAAAATTAGATTTTGAATTTTAGATTTATATTTTTTATTTTTAGTAAATTTTTTAATATTTTGATTTTTTTTAGACACATTTTATCTAGATATACTCAAAAAATAAAACATATTTGTGAAAAATCTTTGGGCACTCAGATCAAAAATCCAATTTTGAATTTTTATTGCTCAAAGATCCACTCTCAAAATTACTTTGTCCATAAGGATATGCTTTTGCGCAATGACCAAACTACCATCCATATATATATTTTGTTTCTAGATCAAAACCCTAGTCAGTCTCAAACTATAGCCTCTTTCTCTCTAGAGTCTCTTTCTATCAATCTTCGTAGTGCCTCTTCATTCCCTTTCCATTGCTCCACCACCGCATCCACCACTTCACCACTCTCGGCCACTACCTACCTGGATACCACCTGCTGGTCCACATCACCTCTGGCATTGTGACGGCTATCACGCGCCCCAAAATACACAATAGATACAACCCAAAACATATATTAATAACCGCATGAATCAGAGTAAATAATCTTTTCATTACAAGAAATTCATAATACAAGAGTGCAACATAAATAAGTGTCCTTCGAGCTTACATCTTTCCAAACCTTGGTTTGGTTATAACAAAAGAGAGACTAACTCTTACAAATAAGCCTCTGGCTATACAAAAAGAATATAAATCAAAACAAGAAACTCATGCTTCCAAAGGCCCCTCCAATGCTATTGCCTTGATGGAAACATGCCATCATTACCTGAAAATATTATTCTCAAATAGGGTGAGTCACAACCCAATAGAAATCATCTAACACAATATATGAAATTTAGCAAAGATATAAGTACAAATGCATAAGCAATGCTTGTGATAAAACTTTTTACAACTTTATACACTTATAAGATATCAATTTCAAGTCTTAATCTATTTATTTTCAATTCATATTCCGTTCACTTATCTATCTCAATTTATGAGTCAATTTCGTTGTTTTTCAATAACTGAATTGAGGCTACAACTCAATAATTTTCAAATCATACAACACGTATGCATAAACACTTCAAATTTTAATTTCACAGATATTTCATCCGCGGGCAGCCGTCAAACGAAACCTATATAAACATAGGCTATACAAGCACTACAATTGCCATTTTACGGATATTTCGTCCGTGAGCTAGGCATCCATGTATAATTTCGGGACTTTTATCTAGGACACTCCCTCCAACTTAATTATAATAGAGTCCATCCAATTTCTCCTCCCAAACAATCATTCACACATATGCAATGCATTTAAACACAAAATCAAATAGTGGAACACATCTCATTTCCACTTCCACATAGCCATACATGTACAATGTATATAAATATAGTCGTATTCAGTGACAAACAACAAGAGATTAGTTTCAATTCACCTAATCCTCATGCAATTTTTACAGCAAATATGGCTATCCTTCATCGATAGCCCAATACAGTTATTTCTAGACAAATATTCAATCTCACACATATAGTTTATTCAAAACTTCCAGAAGAATGAGTTAATACACAACCAATCCGACCATTCATATCAATACCCTCTCTATTTCACATTTTCAATGTCAATTATAATTATTTGTACAAAATAATAATTTAATTCAATTCGGGCAATTTTCCCTTTTTTCTCAAATATTAGCCAAGTGCCAAAATCAGCAAATTTGACATAACACAACATCATTTTCAAGCCCCACAAGCATTTATTTCACTTTCACCCAAAACCCATTTTTTCATTTTATGCTCAAACCTTAGGTTTGTTTAAAACATCCCCGCATCACACCATTGTTACACAAGAGTCAAATAACTGAACTAAATATTATATGAAGGTATAGAAAGATCCCTACCTCAAAGAGAGAAGACGAGCCAAATAAGAGTGGAACCCCAAGAACGTTGAAACCCACTCCTATTCGGATCAAAATGAAGATCTTGACGAACGCTACCTTTTTCTCAAAGGCACTAGTGTGGAAATCCCAATGGATCTAGATGAAATCTTAGAGGGAAGGTGAATTTTAAAGAAAGAGAGACTCAAGAACAAGCTTTTTGGAAAGTTTTAGACAGAGAAAGAGAGAAGAAAAAATGATTCAAAATGTCATCCTCTCGGACTGTTATACACGCAGTCCGCTCGAGCGTCAGACACAAGACTCCACTCGAGTGCGAGACTAGACGCTTGAGCGTCCAATGCACACTTCCAGCATTTACAGACCTGCAAAAGAAATACTGAGAGTTGACGAATCTTGTTCGAGCGCGAAAATAGCCGCTCGAGTAGAGAGGCAAACTTTTTGAAGCCCGCTCAAGCGCAAGAATGCCTGCTCGAGTGCAATAGCCAAAATCTGGGCATCACAGGTTTGACAAAACACGCAACCCACTTGTTTCTGTGATAACCCTCACCACTGATTAGTGTTAATCTATGATTAAGCATGTTAACTGACTGGTTGACTAAAATTCTGAATTAATTGATTGAGTGTACTAGTTTAAATGCATGTCTATCTGTTTGACTGCTAAATTATCTGTTCATGTATTATGTTTAAACTGTAAATTGAAGGCCTTATCGGCGGCCGAATCCGAAATTGATTAATGGTTTATGCTAGTTGGAATTTATGTGATTTTATGGTATGTTTAATTGAAATTTGATTTGGTATGACTAAATTAGATTTAATAATGTTAAATTACAATAGTTGGACTTATTTACCTTAGTGCCATGTTGGTGGGCCACTTATCAATTCATGTTTGAAGCCTATTACATGTTTGATGCATCAATTGTTCTCTATTTTCTAAGCCTTAACCGACTAGAGAGAGAGGGATATGAGATAGTTTGATTTCATCAAGAATTTGGCTTGGAGACTTAGAAGATTGAAGAGTAGATTGCATTTTGAGCTTCCATTCTTGAATTCAAGGCTTAAGGTATGAGAATCACCTTCTTGATTGTTAAATTAAGTCATATATTGCATGGTTCATGGAAGTTTAGAGTTTAAAGTCTATAATTGGTTAAAATTGTTGAATTGAAGCTTGTATCATGCATGTATGTTCACATTGTTGAATTTGAAGTTGTTTCATAAGGATTTCTTTATGCATGTTCATATTTTTGGTCTTGATCCATGAACTCACCATGTTTTGAAGTTAAACATTGCGTTTGATCTTGTTTTGTAGCATTGGAGTTCCTAGGAACCCATGCATGTGTTGAATAGCCTAAAAGGATCGATTTTGGTACATTTAAAGTTGATTTTGAGCTTGAAGGTTCAATTTGGAATTTCCAGAATTTGGATTCACACTAGAGCGGGGAACTCCACGCTCGAGCGTACAACCTGAGTTCATGCAATCCGCTGAAGCGGGGAAAGCGACGCTCAAGCGGGAAATGCGTGTATCTAGTACTTTGCCCATGTTTACAATCCGCTCGAGCGAGGGAATGCACGCTCGAGCGAGGAATTGTGTCTTACGCTCGAGCGGAGATCGAGCATCCGTCGAGCGTGAATTGCATGCATCCAGTACTTTTGCATGATTTTGCAGTCCGCTCGAGCGGGGGAAATCACGCTCGAGCGGAGCTCCTTTGTTTCGCATGTCCGCTCGAGCGTAGAAAGCCACGCTCGAGCGTGAACCCCTGTTTCAACAAATTTTGAAAGGTGTTTAAAAGTGAATCTTTGCATCCCCATTCCATCCTAGGCATTCTTATGCCTAGTTTAAGGCATCTTAATGAGGATATTGACGTAGAACCACACCGAGTCTAAGTAGGGACTAAGTCTTCGATTCCCAAGTATGTGACTTAGTGTGTATTCATCTTGTAACTGTGTAGGGTTGGCATCCGAGGACGCACACTAGCTTATCTGTAGCCTAGAACTCTGTAAGTAACAATGTTGTAAAGATATGTTTAATCATGAATATTTTCTGAATGAACAACTGTACTGCTTTTTGAAATGATATTTCTTACTGGATGAATGTTTGTCCTATTTGTGAACTGTATTCGTGGCATCCATAGCAATTTACTATTATTGTACTATACTGTTACTGTCACAGAGATCTCTGCCGGTTCCCATGTTTGGAACCACTACTGTTTACTGATATGATGGCCATCAACTGACTGTTCGGTCTGTTAAGACCTATTGTACTGTTTTGTTATTGGATGTACCACATATGACTATTACAGTTTCTAAATGATTGTTATGGCATGAATTATGAGCCACAAACTGAATGACTGATATACTGATAAATGACTGTTTTCAATACTGAAAGGACATTTATTCTTAACCACTTTACGCATATGTTATTCACTGGGCTTTAGCTCACTGCTCATATATATATGTAGGTGTTCAGGCATCGAATCGTTGCTAGAAGCGTCAGGCTCTGCCCTTGTTTTGTCAAGCCAACCTTTGTGCCTCACTTCGAGGTTTTAGATCTGTTCAAGCTAAGGCTGCTTCTGGGGTGTCTCAGATTCACCCTATCTGTCTCTGTCATGTATAGACTGTTACTGTACTGTTATGGTAGGGATTTGGTCCCTAACCTGAATGATTGTATATGATGTATGTATATACTGTTTTTGTTCTGAATGTGAATATGTTATGAAGAGTCTTTTTGCATACAGACTGTCACAGCTCATTGGACATCTTTTATTACTGTTTTGGCTTCCGCCAGCCCATATACTCTGTATTACTATTATTACTGTTAAGCAGGCATTCGGTAATCACGGATTACTGGCCGGTTACGGTGCTAAACCCATAGGGGCGAGTTTGGGTCGTGACAGTTTCAAACACACAACCATAACTTGATAACCAAAATAAATGAGATGCAAAGGAAATGAGATATAAATAACCATTCTAACCCATACAAACCCGAGTCCGGAATAT